ATGTGACACACACACCAGTATTTACACACCAGTATTTAAGGATTGGTAATCTTTTTTAGAAATTGAATGACTTTGGTCTTATTATACATTCGTGAGGAAGGTAATCAAAAAAGAAAGAAGACGAGTTCTTTGTTTTATCACTTAGGAGTAGTGTGAGATGAAAGTCTCATGCACGGTTTTGAATGAGAGAAACAAGTGAGGAGATGTCTGCAACTCTTTTCTGTTACTGCAAACATTATTCTATTGTGACTTCTTTGACATGACATGAATATCCATTTCGCCCCTTTTATACATCCTTTTGGTGCAATGTTTTCTCCTCTTTAACCAGACTTCCATATCAATCAAATACTATTGTTGCTAGAGTTCTGTCCTCTTCATAATAAACTATAACGTGGAACATTTGCTAAGCATAATAGTTTGGAAAAATAAGTATGTTCTTGAAGGAAATAGGCTGTAACATATTAACATAATTAATAGGACGATTTTTTATGTGAAACCAAGCTTGGGGCTGAGCATTAATAAAAGCCATCTGACAAACTACGTGCCACACATTGGCTGGTCCAAGAATATATTTAGCATGAGTTTTAGAAAAAAATTGTTTATCTGAGATTTGGTTTCAACAATTTGATTATTATGATTTGATTGAGGGATCTTTATGCTTTTGTGGAGATCTATGACAACATCATCTGTAGCCTCATTTCTTGTGTAGCTTGTAGTTTCTCATCTAGCTTATGGCTCATATACCTCTACATCTTTGGGACGCAAGCTGTATGATGTCTGAGATTTGACTGCTTGCAAATATATTTATTGTCCTTGAGGATTGATGTCATTTTGGAGGCAACATGGCTCTGGGCACTGCCAATTAACTAGAAAATTTCTCTAAAATATTACAAGCTGATGTAATAATCTGCTTGAGAGAATAATTTTTGAAATCATAAAGAAAAACTTTTTTGATTTTTCCAACTAAATGTCTGTCCACAAAACTACATTAAGGCAAGATGGAAAATGTCACTTCATTGATTGATGTGGACCATGATAACAAGAAAAGACTGGAGAATACTTCAGACCTTGTCTAGTCAAAATTTTAGGTTGAATGTTTATTATGTATTTTTCCATTTAGTATGTCGCTGGTACAGTTTGATTTGGTTTTATGAGTAATGATATTTTGGTGATCTCAAGATTCGCTGAACACAAATGTACATGGGTCTTATAATGTTAGGTAAAACCCAGCTTATATAGAAATCTTTGTAGTTTTTTAATTCAGTGGATTGAGCATTAGAAACTTTAGGCTGTGTTTGCATGAGTTTTAGAAATTCAAGACTCTCCTAGCAATAATGCCACAATGACCACATTTGTGTACCTTAAAGTGTTTACCATCTCATGTGTCATTGTTGCGTTGGTATCAGACATGACTGGTGCGGCCCTTTAAACCAACGCAATGATACCATATAAGATGGTTAAAAATGTGGTCATTATAACAATATTGCTATGTCAGATCACCAATTTTTCCAAAAGCTTAAGATGTTAGGAAATTGGCCCAACAATGTATGTCAAACTTTCCACACCTTCCTTCATGTGCAACCCGTCTTGCGTGTGGAGATGCTAATATCCATACATTGAGAGAAGTAGAATGCAAACAGGGAACAAATTAGTCATTTGTTGGTTTTATAGGCTCAGATTTGGACAATTGTGATCCATACTAGGTATTTTTGTGAACACATGCTTCTGTTTGAAATGCATGTGCTTTATTATGCTCTTTGATTTTTATTTTTTCGTTGCTAAGGGTTGCTGGCAAGATTATTAATGTATGAAATGATGTGTTGGGGACTTTCCATAAATGTGTCCATTGTTTAGACACATGAAATACATTGTTAGTTTGAAAAAAATAACTTGGTATCTAATGATAAGATAAAAGCAATGGATTTATAGCTATTATTTTCTTAACCTTTAGACTTTTTAATTTTAGGTGTTCTATTTCAATTTGTGTTTTAATAGAGTTTTCTAAAATATATACTACTTTTTGTTCATTACTTCTTTTCCATATGTAGAATGTGAAAAATGATTTCTTATTAATTTGGTATAATAAAGAATATACTTACTTCCAACGTAAAAGATGATGAAATTATTTTATTTTCATGTGTTTATATATATATATATATATATTAATAGCTGATTTTTTTTTTGTGTATGATTTTTGAGAAATTTTATATTAGCACACTTATTGTTCTTTATTCACCTGTTCATTCTTTATCTTTAATTATCTGTTGATGTTGAGCTATCTTTGCTTACTGTGCATCAGTCATTGGTTCATTGCTTATTGTTGAATTGCAAGACGAACTATAGTTCTATTCTGTGCATGATGGTGTGAAAAATTGTATCCAAAAGTTTGGGGGGAAATTTGAAACGTGGGGCGGGAATTTGAAATTTGCCATTGCCCTCTGTCTTTCTCTCACACAGATCCTCAGACCACACTCGACCTACGACCACATTGATCTCTCGTTGATCCTCATATCCTCAGACCACACTCGCCATAAGGAGACTCTGAAATGTGGCCGTATACGCAAAGTAAGATCGTTTTACAGCTGATCCAATAACCATCCATATAAAATATCTCCCGCTCTTTCTCTCTGTCTGAAATTTTTTTGAGTGCAACAATCCATCTCTTCAACAGTCAACTTTATTGAATGAAATTTTCATCGGAATCTAATTCAAATAATAGAAATTGAAATCAAATACTAAAATGTGAGTCCTATAATTTAATAATTTTATTTCTATATTATAATTTGCTCATTTAAATATGCTCTTAATGTATCAAATATGAGTCGCGCTCAAATTACTTGTTGTGTCCAACTCATTTGTGATGTCTCCGAGATAGTAGATTAAAACATGGGTGTGTCCAACTCATTTGTGATGTCTCCGAGATAGCAGATTAAAACATGGGTGTTGAAAGGTAGAGGATTCTGAAGATGAAGACAAAAATATACTACACTTTTTGACTAGTGTGGACCCCAAAATGCACCTGATTTTCCCTTTTTCACCATCAGATGCTGATATCTACAAAGGAATTAAGCTTTTTAGCAGTCTGCACCTTGTAAACTCAGTAATATTTGTACCTTAGAGGTCATAACTGTTTGACATGTGTCACTCAATAAATACCCATCATGGTGAGAGACAAAAATAAAAAATATTAACAATGATTAGTATAGTTTTGTGTTGTCCTAACATCAATGTGCAAAACTGGTATAGTTTTCCTTTGCCTTGTATTACAGCAACAAATTCTGGAATGGTCTAGTCTTGTAGACTTGCTCCTCTATGCAATTGAAGACATGCATTCTTGCCCTATACCTCATATATTTTCATTGATTTTCATGCAGCAGGTAAGGCTTCTAGAATTGATGAGGTATCACTGTCCATGTAGGCATGCAAGGTTGCTACTTTTCAGTATAAGAATAATCAGCTCATGATAATTGATCAAATTAATTGAAAGAAAGACGCAAGTATCACCTTAATCCACACTACCAGCTCAGGCCATCTCTTTATGGTTGTTTTTTGGTAGCCTAATGCTAGGCTTCATCTCAATGTTATATTTTATGTCATCTCACTTCTCATCATATTCATCCTTTTCTATTCTATAATTTAGCACCACACCTTTGCCTCATCTTTTTTCACCCTTCATATATTTATTCAAAATAGAAAAAGGTAATGTTTTACATGTTTCCAAAAGAAAAGTTTGATATTGAGTAATGCTTCAATTGGTGAGATGCCTCTATCTTCATAGTGCAATACTTTTGTTGTAATCTAGATTTGTTAAATTATAAAGCAATAAATTATATTTTTTAATTATTACAATGATTTCTTCATATCTTGATCTATTTAAATAATGTAGTATATAATTTGTTATTATATATACAAGTAGAATTTGTGTGAATATTAGCAAATTAAAAAAAAAAAGTGTCATTTTGTTTCCCAAAAAAATTATGTATAAAAGCGTCATGGATTTGGATAGTAATTTAGAAAGAGAAAGGAAAAAGATTTCACATTTCTTTTTCATCTTTTCCTTTTTCATTTCTAAATTCCTATCTAAATATATGAGGCCGGGAATATCTCAGGCCGGCTCTGGGTGTGGAACCTATGCTATTGGTATAATGTTGCAACCATGTATCTTATTTTGCAGTTCCAGGCCATCTGGGCTGGCTGCTTGTGGTTGGTAAAATGTAGTAACAATGTTCTTATTTTGCAGTTCCATGCCATCTGCATTGATCCATGGCTGCGCCAGCAGGGAACTTGTCCTGTTTGTAAATTTAAAGTCGGATCAGGATTGCACAACAATGGACAAGGCGATGCTTCCTATATGGTTTAACAGACTTACAGAGACATTTGTAGCTGCTTATAAAATCACATATACAGCCATATACACTTGAAATGATTCAGAAACAAGGGAATTCTTTAGACTATAGTCAACTCTGGATAATGTATGTATCAATTGGTTGGATCTAGTATGTGCCGTCTATAAAGTAGCTAGCTTAATGGGTGAATCACTGTTCATTAAAACCATTCAAATGCTACTGATATGATACATCATGAATTTTATTTAAAATTAACAATCAAATAAAACTTAGAGAAGTACTTGTTGATTACCATTTCTACAAGATAATATAAGGTCTCACCAGGTTTCCTTGGTAAGATATTGTAATGTTGACTGTCATAGTAAAGGTTGTAATTTCAGTATAAGAATTGATAAGTTGCAGCTTTATTATGCCAGCTAGTTGTCTCAATATGATGTACATGTTTATAGGATTTAGTTTGTATATTGTTGAAGTGTTTTAATTTTTTCCTCTCCAGGAATATGCTGAACTTCTGCATGAATTTATGACTGCAGTCAAGCAGAACTATGGGGAGAAAGTCCTCATTCAGGCTAGTCACCTTCCCCTAAATTACAGGCTTATGTTTTTATATAGTCATTGGATAGTTTTCAAATTCTATACCTTGACCTATATTATGCAGTTTGAAGACTTCGCAAACCATAATGCTTTTGATCTGCTTGCAAAGTATGGCAATACACATCTTGTTTTCAATGATGACATACAGGTAAATGATTGGGGCTCAGTAGTATGTACATTTATTTTTTGTTTTCATTTTTCTATTTGAGTGAGCTGCTATGTGCATTTGTGTGGGTTTGGGTGTAAAGTATTTTTAATATTTGTGTTATTTATTTTGTTGCAGGGGACAGCATCCGTGGTCCTTGCAGGGCTTATGGCAGCATTAAAGTTAGTTGGGGGAACCTTAGCCAAGCACATATTTCTGTTCCTTGGAGCAGGAGAGGTGTGCTCTTACTAGTCTTCCCTGAAGATTCCATTTAATAAAATTTGAATTGCTATACTAATTGAATAGGATATTCGGCATATATTCCCCATTTTTGTAATTTATTCACTCCCTCACTGGCCAACTGGTCATATTTTTTTTTCTCACTTCTGTCACTTGGTTGATGAAGTGGCTAAAACAATATCGATGGGGCCATCATTGAAAAGTGGATCCAAAGCTGGGAAAAGTGGATCAAAAGTTCACGAACCAGACGAGCACCCTCCCCAACATATTTCTTAACAAGTTCACGAAGCTAAATTGTACAAGATTACTTGGCAGTATGACCATTTTTGGGAGGATTAAATATTTTTGGATGGATGTGTATGGATAACAAATATTAGTAGTTTTATTTGTTGATAGCTGCGCATGGATAACAAATAGTTATGTTTCAAATTGTTATGCTAGATGGATGTGACTTGTGAATGAAAACTTAGAATAGTTGTATTGTGTTGAATGTTAATGAATTATGTATTGTGATTGAATGTTAATGATTCAGTTAATTTGAATGATGCTTTAAAATTATAGGTTTATTATGGATTGAATAAATTATTAGGAATTACAGGTGTATACAGATTTGATGTGAAGTTGCTTGTTTTTTTACTGCATTACAACATGTTGTTACATTGTTTTGCAATTGCTGAAATTGTCAAATGGAGAATCTTCAGAAGATCCAATATATTACGTTTTAATGCGACGCCCTAACAAGTAAGTACCAAAAACTTTGATTAATAATGAAAAAACGAAAATTAGTGGTTGATTCATATTTAGATCATAGCTTATTGTCAATTAAATAAAGGTCGTACTCAGCACAAGACTCCTGCTTTGCAGCAGGGTTTATTTGTTGATAGCTGCGCATGGATAACAAATAGTTATGTTTTAAATTGTTATGCTAGACGGATGTGACTTGTGAATGAAAACTTAGAATAGTTGTATTGTGTCGAATGTTAATGAATTATGTATTGTGATTGAATGTTAATGATTTAGTTAATTTGAATGATGCTTTAAAATTATAGGTTTATTATGTATTGAATGAATTATTAGGAATTACATGTGTATTGTTTTCCTGCTTTGGCGACCAATTTATTTGTCGCGACAAATAAATAATTTTTTTTTGTAAAAAATGACAATTGCCGACCAAGAGTTTTGGTCGCAAAAAATACATCTATTGCCGACCAAAACAGCTCTTGGTCGTGGAAACTCACTTTTGCCGACCAAAAGTTTTGGTCGCGAAAAGTAACAAATGGCGATCAAATTTTTTGGTCGTGGAATGTCACAATTGGCGACCAAACTTTTTGGTCGTTGAATGTGATAATTGGCGACCAAACTTTTTGGTCGCGAAATGTGTCAATTGGCGACAAAGATATTTGGTCGGGAAAATCTCACTTTTCGCGACCAAAGTGTTTTAGCGACAAAATGAATAAGTCGCGGTAATTAAATATTTAGCGACTAAAAATTTAGTCGGCAAATCCAACTTTTGCCGACCAACCAAAATTTTGGTCGCGAATTACTTTTGCCGACCCTCAATTGGCGACCAAAGTAGCGACCAAAAAAATTGGTCGCGGATAACTTTTGCCGACCAAAAATAAGCTTTTAGCGACCAATTTTTTGGTCGGCAAAAGTATTAATTCTTGTAGTGTATAGATCTATTGATAAATGGATATTAATTTATTTAATTTCAATAGATAAGAAGCAAAATGTGACATCACCTACGAACCTTTTCTCTGTTGGGAACTACCAAGATATGAAAATGGATAGCATCATCATATGCTCAATATTGGTTGCCCTAATTTGACTACTATTGATTTGTCGCCCAAACTACTTTTGCTGGTTAATTCTAGTCACATGACATGTTTATAAATTTAGATCCACAACCATTTCTATCAATTCATTTTTCCAGTTTATTTATTCATGTGGTTGATCTTAAGGTTGGATAATTATTAATAATATTACTTACTGTTTATTTTTCCAATTAATTGTTACAGTTCTGAATCTTCGGATCAACTCTCCCTCCAAGAATGCTTGGTTTGTGGTGGAAAAAAACCTTTAAGGCGCATGCGAATAATGAATAGTTTCTCCATGTGATTTCTAGCATATTACGATGCCATTTAATGCATGTTTTTAATTTTTTTTTTTTTTTTTTTTGTCCGTAGTGAAATTTTTTTCATATTTCCATTTTATTTTATTTTTTAGATTTTTTAGATCCATTTAATCTAAATACACTTAAAAATAAAATATATGTTCACAAATATATTTTATTTTTTTAGTGCATCTAAAGTAGATGCATGTAAAAATAAACCAAATCAAGACTTAAATCCTATCAAATGTGGTCGGCTGCATGAATCATTATTCTCCACTCGACTCTATCCAAAGCATTTCGTTAGTCAAATTAAAGAGATTCATATCTTTATTTACTACACTAGTCCACGTCAATGTACGTCTATCCCTTCTTCTAACACTACCATCTACTATTATTGTATCACAATTCTTTATTACTGTCTTTATTAGTCTCCGTTGTATGTAACCAAACCATTTCAATCTATTTTTTCTCAACTTATCTTCTATCGGTACTACTCCTACCCATCTTCGAATATATTCATTCTTAACTTTGTTTTTTTAAATTTTGTCACATATCTATTTTAACATCTTCATCTCAGCAACACTCATCTTATCTACTTATTATTTCTTAGTTGCTCAACATTTCGTCCTATATAACATCACTGATCTAATAGTCGTTCTATAAAACTTTCATTTTAATCTAATGGATATTCGTTTATCGCACAATACTCTAAATGCAATCTCATACTTAAACCACTCCGCCTTAATTCTGTAAATCACATCCGCTCCAATCTCCCCACTCGTGATAATCAATCATAAATAACTAAAATGTTCATTCTTAAATAAATCTTGATTCTCAATCTTCACTTTTCCGCTTTCGTTGTGACTATTACTAAAATTGCACTTCATATTCTCTGTCTTAATTCTACTTATCCTAAATCCTTTAGATTCAAGTGTTTTTCTCTAAATTTTCAACTTAATATTAACTCATTCTCTAGTCTCATCCGCTAACACGATATTATCCACAAAAATCATACACCATGACACATCATCCTAAATATTGCGCGTCAACTCATCTATAATTAAAATGAAAAGATAAAGACTTATAATTAATCCTTAATGTAACTTTACAATAATTAGAAATTCACTCATCTCTCCAACAAGCGATTTAATAGTGGTCATCACACCTTCATATATGTAAAAATAAAAAATAAAAAAACTTAAAAATAATTTTTGAATTTGAAAATTGAAACCCAAACAAGATGAATTTAATTCTACAAACACATCCAATTATAAAACCGAACATAGAAAAATAGAACCAAGCCAAAAATCAATAAATAAAACAATAGTGACATAAAAGGGACTTTTCAACTAGCAATGCATTACCAAATTATCAGGAAAATACAACACTCCTCCAGTTGCTATCTTCTTTTATACAAAACCAGCACACCATCCAAAGGGGAAAATTTGGTGCAAATACCAGAGAACCAATGTAATGTAACAAAACTGGGCCATGCACAATCTTTCTCAGCATGGCCGTCTTGCTGGACTGATAGACAAACTGGGCACATCATAACTTCTATGCAGCATCCATTCCAGCCCCTGCCAAAATCTAAATGTAGAAAACTAGCTATAATGGTTTTTTCCAGTCCTCTGGTCCCTGTCGAAAATTGGATTTTTCACCAGTTCTTTGGCAGAAGGTCTCCGAACCGGATCTGGGTCTATCATGGCCTGATTGGATTACCAAATCAACAGAATAAGAATCAGCCATGCTCATGCAACCACATTGTACAGTAATTACTCTGAACTAATTTTCTAGTAGAAATGAGCAAAAATATAGGTGCTGGTTGGTAACGTCTACAGTTTGCTGTTTTTTGTTTATAGAAAACGTAGAACATGATAATATTTATTTTTTGGTAAAGATGAAAACAAAAAACATGTTTAATACACGTGTTTTAAAAACAAGTGAAAGGGGTGACCGGCAAGGGGTGGTGGCCGAAGGTGGTTGTCAAAGGTCAGAGGTGGTTTCCAATTGCCAATGGGAAGTGGTTGGTGGTGGCTGGATGTGGTTGCTGGTTGTGGGACGTTATGGCTGAAGGTTAGTATGGGACAGTTTGTAAACGATTTTTTTTTGGAAAAAACCAAAACAAAAACAAAAAGCTTTTTTGGTAGACAAATGTTTTCAAAACATATAAAAAGAAACAAAAAAACTAAAAAAAATATTTGGTGAATTGCCAGAGGTGGGTTGGCCAGAGGTTACCAGAGGGGGGTGGGCAGCAATGGAGGGTGGCCAGCAGTGGGTGGTGCCTCCAAGTGGAGGGGGAGGGAGGAAGAAACAAAAACTTGTTTTCAAAAGAAGTGAAAACATCTTTTTTAGTATTCTTAAAGTTTTGAAAATTTGGAAAACCGTTGCCACTTTTTTGGAAATTGAAACAGTCACTAAAAATGTTTTTGTTTCCAGTCATCAAATTTTTTTAAAACAAAAACATTACCTAACAAGTCCTAACTGTTTAGAAGCAACCTGGGGAAGAATGCCTAAAGACAGTAATATTTATTTTTGAGTAGTTTTTAAGATGCAGAAAAGAAAAAAATTACCTTGAGTAAGTTTTGAAACTGCACTGAGTGGCTGGGAAGGAGAGGCAATTTTCCTTCCCTGAGATTCAAAGAAAGATACCCTGATTCTGGCAATGCTGACCCTCTAATAAGCTCATAGATGGCAGCTCCTAAGGAGAAGATATCAACCTTGTCAAGATGATCATAATTGTCATTGAGTATTTCTTGGGGCATATAACGTGCATCGCCTTCTTCAATTGGCAGGGTGCTATCAAGGAGAGTTGCGCACCCAAAATCTCCAAGCTTATAAACTCCATTTTTAATATAAATATTATCAGGCTTTACATCTAGGTGAGCTATCCCTTTCTCATGTATGAATTGAAGTGCCTTGGCTATCTGCACAAATTTAAAAAATCTTACTAATTTGAATTGACATGCAATTGCCTGAATAAGAAATCCACAAGTCCCGTTTGGTAAAAACTGAAAACACCTACCGACTGGTGTATTCAATAATTTTATTTTGAGTAATAACATACAAATAGAAAATTCATTCAGAAATACAAAATGCTGATGTGGACCTCACTTCAAAACCAAACACCCATTAGGATGCCTTTTTATTTAGAAGAATAACACTGTCACATCATTCTTCTAGTGTTTTTTTGTATGAATAGAGTTTCCCTTTTATTTTTATTCTGCAGAAATAAAATTCGTATTCCCATTTTGTTCCCAGCATTTCAGAGCACAAATCTTTATTTTGACTAGCGTATTCAAGCAAAAATTGAATCCTTACTAGAAGGTCAGGGTCATTGCAAAAATAAGAATAAAATCTAAACTACATCATTCCTCAACTTCCTAAAAATAATAGAATGATAAAAAATGCAATGAAAGACAAAATATCTCCAAAATTAGTATACATGTGTTAAGATAAATTGATAGAGAGAGATACAGAGAGAATGAATTATGTATTGATTTATTGATGTTTTGATGTATTGTATGTACATTATATAGGAGATGGAGATGTGAAGTGGAGGTGGAGTGGTGGAGTGGTGGAGTAGGTGAAGTGGAGGTGGAGTGGTGTAGTGGGTTAGGTTTAGTGGAGTAGGTTTAGGTGTACATTAACAGCCATGGAACATAATCATCTCTCCCACCAAAACAACATCTTTCACATACCCACCATGCCATCATCCATGGAACAATCATCCATGGAACTTGATGTTTCTTAATCAACCCATCATGACCTCTCCCGATATGTTTCAGTATTGACCATCATCATCAAGAACAAAGAAGGAAGCCAGTAGTTGATGAGTTGCAAAGCCTGACAAAGGAATCTTCTGTAGCCTCTGGTGGGTTAGTCAGCCCGAGAACTGAAACTGAACCTGGAGCCTCATCTGAAAGCAGTGTTGTAGCCAGTGAGGAATCTTGTTCTGAAGATGGTATAGCTAATACTTCTTATGACGATCAGTCTTTTTCAGGCTCAGTTTCTGGTCCTAGAGAGGGATCAAATTATGAAAAGATTCCAAGAAGTGACTGCTTGTTTGGAACAAGCTCTGGGTGGAATTTCTTATGAAAAAACTTTACATATCAGATGAAGTCAAGGAACAGGTTGATCTTGTTCTTGCTCAGTTCAGAAGAACCAAAGGAAGGGTTGATTCATCCGATGTTGAGCTGCATGAGAATCTCTTGTCCCTTTACAACAATGATGTGTCTGAAAGTCCAGTTGTCATAAGGAGAGTGGCTGAAAAATTACAACTGATGGAAATATCTGACCTCACCCAAGAATCAATAGCTCTGCATGAGATGGTTTCTGCCAGTGGTGGAGATCCAGGGGAGGGCATGGAGAAGATGTCAATGCTACTGAAGAAAATTAAGGAAATTTGGGTTTGTCCGGCGGGCGGCCAAGACGAGATTGCCGCCCGCCGGTGGAACGAAAATACTAGGTTCTTAACCTAGCTCTGATACCATGTTAAGATAAATTGATAGAGAGAGATACAGAGAGAATGAATTATGTATTGATTTATTGATGTTTTGATGTATTGTATGTACAATATATAGGAGATGGAGATGTGAAGTGGAGGTGGAGTGGTGGAGTAGGTGAAGTGGAGTGTGTAGTGGAGTAGGTGAAGTGGAGGTGGAGTGGTGTAGTGGGTTAGGTTTAGTAGAGTAGGTTTAGGTGTACATTAACAACATGGTAAAGTATTAGGATATCAGTTGATTTGGACTGTTTGATTCTTATGTCATGTAAAAGAAGAAATCTAATGCACTTCAGGAAGTTCTGTGAATTGGGTGGTCCAGAATTGTTCTAGTAGACTGACTTTGGCATATATAATTTGACAGACAGACCATTTTTCAAATACAAAGCTCAGATTCCACAAATCATACTAACCTGATATATTATTTCCAACACCTCCCCCTCTGTGGATAATTTAGAAGGTTTTCTAATGGATAGACTGTGATCACAGAGCTCCATCTGGATAAATAGCTGCTCATTTTCAAACCAAGAAGAATAGTATCCAACTATGTTTTCATGGAATCCTGCAAAGAGGAAATGCAAATTTAGGTAAAGGACAATGCTTAACGTAATATTTACAAAGACAACAGGAAAATTAACAAAAGAGTTATATACAAACCTAAAGCAGCCAAAGCTTGAACCTCCATCAAAGCTTTTCTCCTGCAAGAGTTACTTCATGAACAAATTGCTCAAATAGAGGGTATTGACATTTGTAAGGATGGAAAAGGTACCTTTCTGTATCCTGATGTAACAGCCTTGTGCTTTTTTTCACTGCATAAAAGCAACCATCAATTCTCTTCAAGACTTTGAAAACACAGCTGAAGTTTCCATTACCAATTTGCTGGAAACAAACAGATTAACAGAAAATTACACAAGTGCTAGAAGCCTGAAAATGTGGATTATACGCACAAATATTTCATCTGCAAAATCTAAGAATTTGCTACAAATTGAAATGTACCTGAGGTTCAGTTCCTATTGCTTTCTCTGTATTGATTTCATCTGTTCCAAAAGTATCTTTGGCAAGTTCTACAACTTGTTCATGGCAAGATAAATTAAAACCATCTGAAAATCAGAGGAAAAAAAGTCATGCAGGACATTAAAAATCAGAGCAGTACATGAAAATACAATAGATCATGTAGTAATAATTAATGCACGTGGATTGTAAAGTGCTGAGGTGAAAAGGAAGCTGATCAATATTAAAAACTCTAGCAGTAAGAAATGAGCAAGTGCAAATGCCTATCACCAGTTCCATCAAAAGATTTATTGTGCCCAGATCTATTTTGCTACTTTAACTTCAGAAAGAGGGAGCAGAAAAAGTGCCTCTAAATGGACTTTGATCATAAAATACCAACCAACATGAGTGGGAATTTTTGAGACAAACATTTAGCTACCATGCTTACAGAATACTTGGTGGTCAACAAATAACATAACATTTCCGGTGTTAAAAAAAAAAAAAAACATAACAAATAACATAACCATCAAAAAAAAGTGTGGGTGAATTGTGGAAGCAAAGTTGTTAAGATGAATGCATGGTGGTACAAGAAAAAAATTCCAATAAAATATGAATGCATTTCATTAAAGCTTGCATTAGCACCTACTACAAGGGCATGATTTGATTCAGGTTCAAAGCATAGCCAGAACAGGAAGAGGGCAAAAAAGGGCCCAAGTTGACATGGGGAGAAAGACAAAAATGACATGGAAATTAAATGAAATTATATAACACTAAATGGAAAAAACAACCAAAGAAGAAAGAAAGAAAAAAGGGAACAACAAATGAAATGAAATTATAACACGAAATGGAAATAATGACCTAAGTTGACACGAGAATAAAGACAAAAATGAATTTGAGGTGAAATGAAATGACATTAAATGACAATAATGAATTTTTTTTTTTTTTTATGATCATATGCTGCTTTCCTACCATTATGCTTCACTCTAAGGCCCCGTTTGTTTGGGGTTATAGGGAGGAAATTAGGATTGATAGTGAGGTGAGACTACTATATGGGGTGTTTGTTTTGAGAGATGGAGAGGGGACTCCTAATCCCTTAGTATTAGTAAAGGCCTTGGAAGGGGGATTGGGAAGGAGGAGGTAGAGATGGTATTAGAAAAATAGTGAGAGGATTATAAATTTTTTTATTTTTTATATATTAGGAATGTTTTAAAAAAATATTAATGTTTAATTTTTTATATTTTTTATTATTTTATATAAAAATAATTTAACAATTACTCACTATTAATCCCCTCACTATCAATCCGTTTACTAACAACCGTCTCACTATGAATCACCTCCATTCTACCTCTGAAAACAAACGGGCCCTAAAGGGTATGGAGTACTGTAAGATAGGCCATCATTATCATCCCTCATCATATCCATCATAAGATCAAGGTCAGTTGGAGACCACAGCCACAAGCAATATAATTGCATCTTTACTTAAATCCATTTGTAAATTTAATTCAAGTCAAACACATGAAATGAGATTCTTTCAATTGAACTACCCATGATAGAAATTAAAGCTCAAGCACACCACAACAATCAACCTTACCCTGCCTTTGCCTTTTGCTTTTGACAGTTTTTATTTTCTCTGGTGACTTGGGACAAGCAATGTTCTCCTGCAAAAAAATAAACATTAGCAAATCAGCAGCAAAATCCAGATTTCGAACAACATTAACGGTCACTCTTCAAAGATCACCTTGTTGCAATCCAAACTGTTTGATATATATTGACCGTCCGGAGTGATATAATCAGGAGTGCTGCATTCATAAAAACAAAAAAGTCGGAAGAGTTATCTTTACTCTTCAAGATGCATCCTTTAATTGAATATTGGGCATTGCAATTCAGTATAATTTACATTAGATCACTAGAGAGAACCCAAAATCAAATGCATGGTTTTCGCGATTGTAGTAAATTTTAGTTATTAAATTGAGCAATCAAGACATCCTAATTTGAAATCTTTTGAACATGCTTGAAATTGGAATCCAATGATAAGAAATTAGAAGTTACCAAAAGAAATCCTGACTGAGAATGAAATCTTTGTCGTCTACATTGGAATCAATGTCGATATCGAGAGGCGGTGATGAAGAAGGAATTATTGAATCTGCGGATTGAGCTTCGGATTCGAGGAGACTCTGGAAGCGGAACGAATCAGATAAAGAGATAGAGAAGGAGGATTGTTGGAGAGGCTTGAAAGAGACATGCCCTAGCTTCTGAACTGTCAAGTGTCTCGCCACTGAACCCTTCATTCTCTCCTCTCTCTCTCTCTCCCTCTCTCCTGATATTTTTGGAATTTGGGGGGGAGAGAAGAAGAGGAGAGTGGAATAAATAAAGTTCAAAATTGCGCGGGTTTTTCTTAGTGGGTGAATTTTGAGTGGCTCATGTGCTACTGGGGTTCAGATGTTACGGTGCAGTCTCGCTTTCTCAAGAGGCGAGTTGAAATGAATTTCATGGATGAATCTAAACCGTTTAATGGAAGTCGCGATTTGTTTTCTGTATTGTTCTATCTGATTGCAGTACTCCTGCGGTTCAGATTATAGTTTTTTGAATAATGAAGGTAGTGCCACCGTGGACGTAGTGTAGCAAGCCCAAAATAAAATAAAAATGGCAAAAATTGCCAAAAAATAATACACCCTCCGTCCCAAAATATTGGTCCCTTTTGGGGAATTCAACTTTTTTGGGTAGTACACTTATTGCATTTAAAAAAAGTTAATTTTCCAAAATTACCCTTTTGATAGTACATTTTTTGAGAATATCAATGTCATAATTGTACTTTTTAAATTGTTTATTAATTTAAAAGAAGGGCAAAATAAGAAATTTACATTATTTTTGTACTTGATTTATAAAGATGGACTAATATTTTGGGACAATGAAAAATGGAATAAAGGACTAATATTTTGGGACGGAGGGAGTAGTAAATAAGTGAAAAGATTAGTATAATGTCCCTCTTCTATTTTTAGTAATGGAAGAGATTTACAATAATATTTTCTGATGTTTAAGGTCCCTTAATCCTACACCCATATATTGCAGAGAAATTTGATTTTCTCACATCAAATCTCTCTCTATCTGTTCGAAACCTACCAAACCCAGAACCAATCCACTCTCGCTCTCTCTCTCTTCTCTCTTCTCTATTCTCTATTCTCTATTCTCTATTCTCTATTCTGTTCATCTGCCCAAACTAAACCTTAGCCTACCCACTATCTGGATCTCGTGGTGGCGATCTTAGAAGATGATTTGAGGAGTCTAAACGAGATCTACCATCATCACGTAAATAAGACCAAGTCCGACACCAACCCCATCTTCGGCAAGTTGCCGAAGAAGCTTCCGGTGAAGATTCGGAAGTTGGCGAGCGCCAAGTCAACTTTCGCTCACTTTGAAGAGGACGGATAAAATCTCGACGAAGGCTGTAAAAGATAAACAGGTTGATACAAAGGCTGATGATTTCATCAACAGGTTCAGGCAACAATTGAAGTTGCAGAGGCTGGATCAAACAACAAATTTAAGTCTGCATCAGGTAGGGGATCAATTAATTTGTTCTTGAGCTTCATTTTTCACTTAGTCCTTTTACATGATTATTGCTACTTGTACAGTAATCCTGTTTTGTCTGGATAGATTAGCTTTTTAAAAAATTAACGAGAGATGAGGAATAAATGAAATTCTGACAATAAAATACCAGCTAAAATAAATGTCTTCTTTAAACCCTATTGTCTATATCATTAGAATTTGCATCAATTGTTTCAAAGCTAAATGTTGTAACAAGTTTTATGTGTTGTACAATCTTCACTGTATTCAAAGAATGGATTAAAGAAATGAGAGAAACTATTTGATTACAAAAATCAAAACAATGTATAAAAATAAATAAATAAAAATAGATTTTGATTTTGTTTTAAAAGTAAATAAATAAAAACGGATTTTTATTTTGCAACAAAAACAAAATCATAATTTGGAACAGGAAAAATAATTAAACAGAAAAGTAATCAAGGTGCTTACCTTATTATTTTCTCGAACAAATTTTTAATCAAGTCCAGTGTTTAACACTGTATCCTTAAGACAAATTCGCCATCTCCACGCTACTTTCAAATTATGGACATCTATCTTCCAAGATAAAATGATCAACAACGAATAATAACAACACTACAAATTATTCGCACAACGAACACACTTTGTGTTTATACACTTTCTTACAGAAAATTAATGCAACAAAATACAAAGAACAACAACAGGAAACAATAACGAAATTAGAGTGCAAAATCCAAATGAGGGACTGCCAATTTATAGATGGAAAAGTGGTTGTTCAGATTTGAATGAACAAGTAGCAAACCTGTTTGAACAGGTATAGAACCTGTTCAGTTTGAATGACAAGGTAAGGTAATGTTTGGGTTTGAATTTGAACAGATATTGAATCTGTTCAATTTAAATTCAAACAGATAAAAACCTGTTTGGTGGAGGAAAAAATCGGGCTGAATTTTGAAATTAATTTCGAATTTTAAATTCTAAAAAAAAATAAGAATTTTAATTTTATAAAAAATAAAATTCAAAACAGTTTTTAACCAAAAAATATAAGTATTGGGCCGAACAAGCCCAACCCAACCTCACAGCACGCACTCGCGCCAAAGCCCAGCCCGCCTTCCCGACTGGACGGACAGCGGCAGCGGCGTGCGCATGTGTGTTTATTTTTTGGTCCAATGGGTCTAGCCCACTTTGCCTATAACCTCTATCTTCTACAAAGTTGGGGTGGCCCTTAGGGCCTTGCCCAAGTTGCAAACTTAAGCGTTATATACCCATAAAAGTTTTCCCACCAAACCAATATAGGTCAAGCCTTTAATTCAAACTTTTAGGGAATTTCCACTAAAAACTCCATTTTCATGGAGCTCACTTTGACTTTAATTTTTCATTCACTTGATAATGGTTTTGAGCAACCAAATATACTACGTTAATCACAACGCGGCATAGAACACGTTACCACTTAGACCCGCCAATTTTGGCACATGGGTCCCACCTAAAAATTAGACCAAAGTTTAGGAAAAATCTGATTTTTCCAAAACCATTTCTAATAATCCCTCATATTAATGGAATTTGATAACAACGAAAATACAACAATATGCAGAATTTGTCGAAACAGTATCAATTGAAAATATTTTGCATCATGATAGGTAACTTTCGGCCTTAAACCTTCCCTAGCGATGACCTATCGGATTTACTAACTAACCAATGGACGCAATGCCTTAAATTGTTCAGCCGTTTGTAAGTCAAGACAATATATTTCACACAAAATATTTTCTAACACATCGTGATTTTCACGATTGTGTTCATTTTGGCCTTGAACGCTCCTGGTTGTTCATGAGTACTTCTAGAGAATTTAGTCTATTCATTCTCATAAAACCGGCCCCAGTTTGACACTCATATAGGTGATTCTTATTATGAGTATCTCTTATACTCGTCTTGATTTTTATGCCTAAATCAAGATATAAGTAATCATTAAAAGCAAAGCTTATCATTAAATCCCTGCATACGACACATGTTGCGGATATCACTCTTACCATTTTATATAATTAATTTGGGAATGCTATGGGATTATGAGATTGAGTTGGGAATAATGAAATTGACTCATTATGTAGTAGAATGGTGGAGTTGGATTTAATAATCACTTGCCTTTAAGAAATTATTAATAATTTATCTGTTGGTGCATTTATTATCTGTTTAGAAATAACTGCTTTGGGCTATCGGTAGAGGATAGTCTTAATTGTTGTAGACACTGCATGATGATTAGGTGAATTAAAACTAATCAATTTGAGTATGTCATTGAGTATGACGGTTGGAATAATACAACGAATTTGTGTATTGATTAGTCATTGTATATGATGAGTATTTGAATACATGGGTGCCGAATCCCACGGATGAAATTTCCGTAAAATGACAATCCGAAAATATCTATACATGGATGCCGAGTCCCACGGATGAAATTTCCATAAAATGGCCATAAGAAAATAATTACACATGGGTGCCGAATCCAGCGGACGCAATTTCTGTGAAATGGCAGTTTGAAGTATTGTTAACATGAGATGTAGTCTCACTTAAGTTGTTTGGCCAAGTTTTGAGCCGTGTTTATAAGTTGAGTTTTTGTCAAGTGAAGGATTATGGAATTGGATTGTACTGTATGTTGATTTATATGAGTTAAACGTTTATCAAGTGCTAATGTTTTAGTTATTACTCATATTATGTTTAGCATATCTCTACTGGGCGTTGGCTCACCCTATATGGGACATCATTTTCAGGTACAGGTGTTATGCCACCTCCAAGGACGTAGCTTGGGAGGCTTGAGGCTGTCAGACTCCTTTTTGTTATTTTTGTTGTATTACATGTATATCAAGCCAATGGCTTATTTTGTGTAGAGTTAGTACTCTCCTTTTTGTAACCAAGTGTTGACTTGGAAAGTTGTAAGCCTATAGGGTATTTACTTTTGTCGTCAACATGTAATACCTTTTGTAAGAATACTTTGATGATTGTAATATGAAGTCTCTTCTATTTATCATGAATATATGTTATGATGGGCTTATTTTTTAGGGCGTTACAGGAATGGATAAGGAATTTTAATCCCTTAGTGATTTATGGCGAGCCACACATAACTTAGTTGTCTCTTTGAACTTAGTTTTTAGGATCTCCAGTCATTTAAGTAGGGTTACCATTTTGATTACTCTTATGTAATAGACTTTAATTCTATCCCATTCGATGAACTATACACTTACTATTTTGTCAGACCTTTTGTTAACGGATCCGCAATATTCTCCTTAAATTTTATATAATCTATTGAGATTATTCCATTTTAGAGCAATTGCCTTATGGTATTATGTCGACGACGAATGTGTCGTGACTTACCATTATACATATGACTTTGTGCCCTGCCTATTGTAGATTGACTATCACAATAAATGCAAATAACTAGCACAAGTTTTGGCCACATTAGAATGTCTTCTAGGAAGTGGCGAAGCCATTCTGCTTTTTCTCCTGCTTTGTCTAAAGCAATGAACTCAGATTTCATTGTGGATTGTGCGATGCATGTTTGTTTCATGGATTTCCAAGAAATAGCAGCGCCACCCAGAGTAAAGACATATCCACTAGTGAATTTTGAATCTTTAGTATCCGATATTCAATTTGCATCACAGTAGCATTTCAATACTGCAAGATATCGAGTAAAATTCAAACCATGATCATGGGTAAATCTTAGATATCTAAGAACCTGAATGATCGCTTTCCAATAGTCTTCTCCGGGGTTATTAGTGTACCTACTCAATTTACTGACAGCATAAGCTATATCAGAACGAGTGCAATTCATTAGGTACGTTAGGCTTCCAATGATTTAGGAGTATTTTAGCTGAGACACCGTACCACCTTTATT